AATAAAATGAGCCATATCTTTGTGCATATATTTCAGAGAACCTGAAAAGAGTTCTACTGTCTCAAATGCTTCAGGCTGAAGAGTATAAATGGTTTTAATAAAGTGTGTCTGTCTTTTGATTCCTTTGTTATTTGCACAAGTGCTTGTTACTCTCAAGCACTTTGTTTATACTTTTTTATATTCCATTGTTGCAACAAGTATAAGCTCACGCAGCTGATATCTTCTGTAGAGGAGCCATATTGCAATTAAGAATATCTATAACAAATGACATGCCTTTTCTATAGGTGGCTACCTCTCTATAACCCCACCAAAGGTATATTTTTGCTCCTAGAACACTAAAACTCTTAGCAAATTACTTGCTGTACATTCTGAAGATGTTCTTCACAGATTCCCAAGTAACCTAAGACAGTGGTGGCGAACCTCTGGCACGCGTGCCAAAGGTGGCACTCAAAGCCCTCTCTGTTGGCACGCGCGCCGTAGCCCCAGCAGAGATTGCCAGAGTAGCGAGCACGTGATGTTTGGAAGCGACAGGGCAGGAAATGAGCAAGCGGCATTGGCCCCCCGGGGATGCCCCGGAGATGGCAAGGGACTGGCCCCAGCCATGCTCACCCAGTCTGCCATGACCACTGCAGCCACGCCCACCCAGTGGGCCACATACCCCCTGAGGGCACCACAATGCTGATGCAGCCCTGGCACTTTGCAATAAATAAGTGGGTTTTGGGTTGCAGTTTGGGCACTCGGTCTCTAAAAGGTTCGCCATCACTGACCTAAGATAAAGTCTGTCTCAAGTTAAGATAAGGCTTGACTGCAGAGTTTAAAAATGCATGAAGAGGGGTTTAAATGTATCTAGAAAACTCATGGCCCATTGGGTCATTGTTTCAGAGATACTCCCTTACCAAAACAGAAAAACAGAATGACCAAGGCTGGAGGGAAAAGCAGTGGGAGTAGGAGCCCTGGTTTCCTGGGTCTTCCTCATTGAGTTTTGTTGTGGCAATCTGGCCGGCAGCATCAGAAATCTCCCTCCTGTCTCCCTTCCCTTTCCAAAAAGTAGGTAAGTGATTGCTGCTAGGTGAGGAAGAGAACAAGGGATTGTGAAATGTCTATGGAGATTCTCAGTCATTCAGGTCATGGTTGTCCCAAAGGTGCTTTTTCACAAGGCAAACTGGACTTTCTTTTTTCCTCTTTGAAGATGTTTCACTTCTCATCCAAGAAGCTTCTTCAGCTCTGACTGGGTGGTGGAGAATGGGAGAATTTATATTCCTTGCAGACAGCTGGTCATTTGCATTCTTGAGTTGTTGATGTCACCTGGATGCTTTGTCAAGGTCACCTGAGTAGTGCCAAATGGGTGTGGAGCCTTCTTGGGACTGTTGAAAGGACTGTGTTGTAGACTCGAGATAGATGATTCCTATCCCTCCCTTTCTGTTGAGAGAAGTCTGTTCAATTTTGACCTAGATGTCCTCTTTGACCCCAGCAGTCCTCTCTGTCCAAAATGTGGACTTTGCTGTCTTCAAAAGAGTGGCCTTTGTCTTTTAAATGCAGATGGACTGCTGAATCTTGTCCTGACTCGCTAAAAGAATGCAAATGACCAGCTGTGTGCAAGAAATATAAAACCTTCCATTCCACACCATCCAGTCAGAGCTGAAGTAGCTTCCTGGATGAGAAGCGAAACATCTTGAAAAGAAAAAACAAGGAAGTCCAGTTGCCTTGTGAAAAAGCACCTTTGGGACAAGGGATTGTGAAACTGGCTGGGAAACTGTCACATAATATTGAAAATAAAGATCACATGACCGCAGCAGCAGCAGCCAGTAGCACTGAGCAGCCACAACTTTCCCAAATTTCATTCCCTCAGGAATCAAGGGTCCCAGATGTTGGACAAATTCTGTAGGATAGTCCATCTGAGGTACATGGGTTCAAAAACTGTTGCCCTCCCTCTCATTCTTGGTTAGTTTTATTTTAATTGAATTTTAATTTATGATTCTTATTTATTGTTTTAATCCTTTATAATGCATTTTAACTGAATGTAAGCTGCCTAGAATCAATTCTGGTGAGACGGGCAAGAAACTAACCAAGAAACAAGTAAATAAATAAATGATGCACTGTTTCACCCAGTTGAAAGTCACGATAATGAGTACAGATAGTCCTCGACTTACAACAGTTCATTTAGTGACTGTTCAAAGTTACAATGGCACTGAAAAAAGTGACTTATGACCATTTTTCACACTTACAACCACTGTAGCATCCCCCATGGTCACTTGATTAAAATCCAGGTGCTTGACAATTGACTTATATTTATGACAATCACAGTGTCCTGGAGTCATGTCACCTTTTGTAACCTTCTGACAAGCAAAGGCAAAGACAATGTTACTAAGTTAACAACTGAAGTGATTCAATTAACAACTCTGGCAAGAAAGGTCAGAGCAAAACTGATTTAACAAATGTCTCACTTAGCAACAGAAATTTTGGGCTGAATTGTGGTCGTAAGTCGAGGGCTACCTTTATATAGATAAGAAATAAAAAATAAACAACAAATAATACAAAAGTAGCTTGCCATTTCCTTCTTCTGGATTGATTTTTCAAGTTCCCAATCTAATCTACAGGCCTGGATTTCCTTCCATCCAAAAATTTTCAGGTCTGACCCTAAATAGCCTGACTGTATGTAGTGCCAAGAAAATATTTTGCAATGGAAACAAAGCAGGAAATTTTAAATACTCTTCTGTTGGTCACAGTAAAAAAAAACCCAAAATTTTATGTTTTTATTATTTATTTAAGAAAATTGATATGACCATCCAATTCTCTCTCAGTAATTCTAGGAGGCTTAGAAGGATTTGTATATCATCTGGAGCCCCTTGTGAGGGAGATATGCAGTTTTTAAATGATAGATAGATAGATAGATAGATAGATAGATAGATAGATAGATAGATAGATAGATAGATAGATAGATAGATAGATAGATAGATAGATAGATAGATGAGAGAGAGAGATGTAAGGAGAGAGAAAGAGATGTAAGGAGAGAGAGAGAGATAATAGATATAGATAGATAGATAGATAGATAGATAGATAGATAGATAGATAGATGATAGATAGATAGATGATAGATAATAGAGAGAGAAATGTAAGTAGAGAGAGATGTAAGTAGATAGATAGATAATAGAGAGAGATGTAAGTAGATAGATAGATATATAGAGAGATGTAAGTAGATAGAGAGAGCTAATAGATAATAGAGATAGATAGATAGATAGATAGATAGATAGAGCTAATAGATAATAGAGATAGATAGATAGATACATAGATAATAGAGAGAGAGATGTAAGAAGATAGATAGAGCTAATAAATAGATAATAGATATAGAGATAGATAGATAGATAGATAGATAGATAGATAGATAGATAGATAGATAGATAGATAGATGTTTTTATATAACCCCTTGAAGAAAGGTTTGGAGGAAGAAAGAGAAAAAAAATCACCAACTCCGAGAAATCTCTCTCAATTATATTATTTTTGAATGATGGACCAGGTTTATACAACTATCTACAATCTGTTTTCTCCATTTGCCTTGGAACTGCAACTCTCATTATTCCCATTATTATTAGATGGAAGGTTGGCATTCTAAATGAATTTTAACTTTCTGTACAATAGAGATCCACAGGTTAAGACAACAGGCTCATGGGAAATTTGAGATCCATGTGAATAATTGGATTTGTTTTTACCTATGTTCATAGGTAATATGACTAAATACGACTACAATTCTAATTAAATGCTATATAAAAGGAAGGAATAATCCCACAAGAGCAATAAATAATGATTGTTTCTGCATTCACCAGCCTTAAATACTTAAAGTAGAAAAAAAACAGCAGCTATTGCAATTGGCTATATTTATATTTATATACATCTTGGTTAGAAAAAAAGCACATGACAGCTTATTGATTACATTAGGCAAGGAGATTTTTCCAATAATTTCAAAATTATTTCAAGGAAACATTATTCTATGACCAAAGCAAAATGAAAACCATTGTTTTAATAAAGACCCACATAAAGGAGATAAATTATTTTACAATATCACTGCTTTAACATAAATCTCAAGGGTTATGTTAATGTGTATTTTATATCCATCATGTAATAATGTCATAATGCATCATAATGTTTGCAATAGTGGCAAATATCTGTACCTCAGGTATAGGATGAAGGTGAAGGTACATTCTCTGAGCTTGTACGTTGGTTTCCAAATGGTTCATTACCAGGCTAGGTAACCTCTTCAATGGCGTTTAGGAGATGTCAATGTCGGTGTTTTCTGTTTATAAGGGCTTCAGTTGGGGGAGGTGTCAAGTGAGGGTCTTGTGATGGGTCAGGTGTGAGTCATCAGATTGAGGCTGGTGATGGGTCTTGTGATGGGGAGGTTACTTCAGCTCAGAGTCGTTGGAGGGTGTGAATTATCAGTGGGTCAGGTGTGAGTCATCAGTGAGAGGCTGGTGATGGGTATCCTCCCCATCACAAGACCCATCACAAGCCTCTCTCTGATGACTCACACCTGATCCATCACAAGACCCTCACTCGACACACCCACACCTGAAGGTGTTACCTTGCCTGATAACAAAACATTTGCACACCAACCCACAAGCTCGGAGAACGAAACTTCACCTGCATCATAATGTATCAAACACGTATTTGGTAAGTTTGTGGTCACAGAAAATGATACAAGTTGTGTGCAAAGTGAGTATGTGCCAGGCAAGCAAGTTATTGGCCAACGTTTTCTCCTCTGCAGCAAAGACTTTCAACATTAACATTACAATGTCATAAACAGATTGTGTATACAGAGAAAGTAGATGTAAAATGGGGGGAGAAAAATGATATTTTTTTTCGATGAAAACCTGAGATCCTTCACAAATTAGGAACCTCAGCACAGAGATGAACAAATCAAGTACAGAAATAACTGAAGACCCCTCATCCCCACAGAGAAAGACAAAGCTGGGAGCACAACAAAGAAAGTGGAAGAAAAGGTTTACCCATAAGTAGCCGCCGTTTCACCCGCTTGTCCACATCAGCTACTGACGTGGCATTGAACTCAGAGCTCTCAATTGCAGCCTCATCCTTCTCTAAAACAAAGGAAGGGGACAAACATGGAGCACTTGGTTAATGAGAAGCCCAGTTTTCCACTGTGGAAGACAGTCTCTTGGCTTTGGGCGACTAAAGCATGAAAACATGAAAACCCCCATTTAGAAATGTGACTCCCTTTTGTAATCCCAGACACAAACCAAGGTTTGTTGGAGGGAGGAAGGTAGTGCAGAGGTGGTAAAAGGGGGTGAAAACAAAGCCATTCCCCAGCCAACATTTAAGATCTCCCACTAATAAACACACACACACACACACACATGAAAGGATGCCCCAGACTGGTGTTAATTTAGAAACGTAATTTATAACAACATTTAAAGTAAACATTGTTAAAAAAGAGGAGGGGGGGGGGGAAGGTAAGTATGACACGTTGACAAATGCTAGTTTTTGAAAACAGAACACAGCTACAAGAATCCGGTGATGGGTGGGCATGGGAATGTGCTCATGTTGATTTAAAATAAATAAATAAACCACAAGAAATTTAAAAAAAAATGCATGCATTTTAAAAAATAAAATATAAAAGAAAAGAAACACAAACTTAAAAATGAAACAAATTGGGCAGTGCTGGTTGCCTGCTTGTCTATGGAACACAACTAGCTAAACATTCAGTGCTACAAAAAAGATGTCATAGGAGGAGACTAATAATTTTTGAAGCATGCAGCAAAGCAGATGGCGGTGTTAGTGATATGGCATCTTGCAGGTAATTTCTGATGGTCTGGTATATAGGAAAAAACTCCAAATCAGCATTACAGCAAATTAATGTAGAATTTCAAAATACACCCCCCCAAATGATCCATTTGCAGGGATGAGAAGAGATGATAAGAGTAAAGATGATTAAATAATGTGCAAAAGCAGTGGTTGCGGGATTAAAATTATAAAATGATAAAAAAACGTACTGCACTTCAAAGCAAAAACAAAACACAAGGGAGGGGGGGAACTTGTACATGCAGCAGACATCAAATAAGAGAATAAGCCAAAGAAACAAAAACAAAATGGATTAGACAAACAGATAACTTCGGCGCCTTTGCCAATATTTGCATCCGTGCAGTGATGTCAGAATTCCAGACATCACCGTAGAGAGTAAAGACAAAGGAGAAACAAGGAGCAAAAGAATCACAAGAAGGGGAAGAAGCTGGCAGAGGTTATCTGTGGAAATGCTAAATGGTTCTGTTCTAGGAAGAAATCAAGTTCTAGATGGGATCAGGCTGCAATAGAGGCTTTGGTTTTGACATTTTCTTTTCCGTTTTGAGTTTTTTTTTCCAGAAATAATGTATTAACTTCAGATATCATACAAGACAGGCAATCAGGAACCATCACCAGAAAACAGGAATAAAATGAAAACAAAACAAAAATTTGAAAAAAAAAAAATTCTAAGAGAAAATTCTACTCAGAGAGTGGAGAAGGACATGTAAAAAAAAAATGCACACACAAGCAGCAATATGCGACTTACATCAGAACAAATAGTGTAACATGATGTCATATTACATAGCAACATTGCAAAAAATGGAAGGAGAAAATATAGTTTTCAGTGATTCAACAGTATGCCAAACCGCACAAAAATCATTAAAAGATACAGGATAGAAATTTAAGCGTGATTTTTTTTTTATTCTCAGAACCCTCAATTGCATCAATACTCAGATTCTCAACCTAAGGTTATCCTCTGCAGTTATGGGAATAGTCCTATTAGGATTATTCTTAATTATTCAAAAATACAACTATGGAGAATCCCCAAATATCCTAAACCCAGCATAGCAATTACATTTTACTTATGATCTTAATCTGTCCACTTTTTACAATGAAATCTATTCATTTCACCCAAGATAATAGTTGCGAACTAACCCCAGTCTGAGATATTTCCATGTTGGAACCAAGATCCCCTACTCTGCATGGTCAAAGTTTGTTAAAGGAGAGTTGGTTATTTATATATATATATATTGACTTCATGGAATTAGACTTTTTTTTTTACAGATGACAATTTATTTCTCTACAGATATAGGGTAACTTTGGTTAATGTATCAATATTTAAAGAAGAGAGAATTCTGTATAAATTGTATAGTTTGTGCAATGAGCTCTCGTTCATGAAAACTGAGCTTCTATCTTGTTCAATGTTCCATGGTAAAATTTAATTAGGAATTATTATTGGACTTTCTGGCTTTCATAATTAGATTCCATTTAAAAATTAAGTAAAAATGCCGTGAGAATTATTTAAAGCTTATATCAGACACTGCTAAATTGAAGAAAAATCTAGGTGTGGATTTCTGTTAGAAATACATAACTCACTCTTTAAAATCAGCTGGGATTTAGCTAAGACACTTGTTTTTGTTTAAAATGACAAATCCTTAATCAGCTAATGCATCATTATGCTCTTATTTGCTGGCTTGCATGACATTCACAGTCCAATCTTATCAAATAACATTAAGATTCCTTAACATATCCTTTTCTACAACTGACACCCACACAATTATAGAAAGGTACTTACCAATGCACGTTCGTCCATCTGAATGCAATGCATATTTCTGATGACAACCGCATACAGGACCACTATCTGTGTCATCACACGTGTGTTGGCAGCCTCCATTTCCATAGTTACAGGTTACTAGTTATTTCCCCAAAAATATGCATATACATATATATGAATAAAGCAACAATAAAGCCAATTAGTTCTTTCTGTGTTTCAGACACATAAAATGATTTACAACTTAGAAAGGCAATGAATATGACATTGATTGATAAATGTCTCCCCCAAATCTTTCTTGCCAAAGAAGTTATTAGTCCCAATGAAATGTGACTAAAAGTAAAGGCATTGAGGAATGTACTCCAGTCCTTTTTTTATGAGGGGCTTCCCCATGTTTCAAACTTTATTTACACCCATGTGAGGCACAATCCACAAGGCTATGAGAAGGTGATCTAATTGTTTAACTTTGTTGAGACACAGACTACATATTTGATAGGTATGGAAAAAGGGCTTTGAACAAAAAAGGCTGCATATGTAAGAAAAGTAAGCTAATGCTGTGAGATTGGGATGGTACAGAAGTTTTGCAAATAAATAAATAAATGGCTCTTAACAGCATATTTTTAACTAGACACAGTGATTGCATAACTGCCTCACCTAAGTAATAATGTAAGTAAGAAAGTATTACACTAAAATAGGTGCTAAATAAGAAGGTAATGAACTAAGACGTGCAACAAATGCCCCAAATAACTTTCTTTCAATATGTAAGGAACAAAAAGAAAGTCAAGGAAACAATGGGTCCACTAATGGGAGAAGATGGCAAAAAGATGACAGGCAGCAGGGAGAAAGCAGAACTGCTCCATCCCTGCTTTGCATCTGTCTTTACACAAAAGAAAAGACAGAACATAATGCAGATCCAAATAGGCACGGAATTGGTAATAGAACACCTATCTGCTTTGGACAGGTTCAAAGCTCTGGGACCAGATGATTACATTCCAGGATATTGAAAGAGCTGGCAGATGTGGCCTCAGAACCACTGAATGAAATATCTCAGAGTTCCTGGAGCATAGGGAGACTGCCAGAAGACTGGAAAACAGCTGATGTGGTTCCAATCTTCAAAAAGGGTAAAAAAAAAAGGATCCAGGAAACTACAGACCAATCAGCTAATTATCTATCTTATCTATTGTCTTCTTCTTCTCTTGCTTCCCTCAACTTTAGAACTGTAAGCATAGTTAGGGGTTGTGTGCTATCCATTATCTACTCACCGTACATGTCCCAAATTCATATATTTCTGTTGTCATAGAAATATACCTCATGATCATGTATGGGTTCCTGGACTGATAAACATTTAGAAGGCTATAATGTAAACAGCCAGCTCAAACTTAGCCATCCTGAATGAAAAGACTCTCCCTCATCAGATTATAAAAAAAAGTCTGGAAAAAATCCTGGAAAAGGTAATCAAGCAGTGGATTTGTGAACATTTACTAATGAACAAGGTGATTACTGGAAGCCAGCATGGGTTTATTAAAAACAGATACGCCAGATAAACCTTATTGTCCTCTTTGATAAAATGACTAAATTAGTGCATCAGGGAAATGCTGTGGATATATTATACTGGGACAGTATACTATACTGGATATAGTATACTAAGGAATTTGGCAAAGGAGACCATAGCCTACTTCTTGATAAGATAGAACAATGTGGAGTAGACTGTACCATCATTAGATGGATTCGCAGTTAGCTGATCAACTGCACTCAGCATGTAATCCTCTATGGAGCAACATCTACATAGATGGAAGCATACAGTGGGGGACCTCAAAGTCTTGGGTCCGGTACTCCTCAACATCTTTATAAATAATCTAGATGAGGGGAACTCACTGAATTTGCAGACGGCATCATGTTGGCAGGAATTGCTAACTGTTTGGAAGATAGATTCAAGATTCAGAAGGATCTTGACAGATTTGAGCATTGTGCAACAATATGCAGTTTAGTGGTAAGAAAAGTAAGGTCGTACACTTAGGCAGAAAAAACCCGAATGCATACTGTAGATATAGAATAGGGGATACCTGGCTCAACAATAGTAACAGTGAGAGGAATCTAGGTGTCCTGGTGGATCACTGCTTAAGTATGAGTATTGCTGCAGCTACAAAAAAAAAGCCAACATAGTTCTAGGCTACATCATTTGCAAGTTTTGCACCAGCAATATGGTTTATTCTACTAGGAAGGACATATTTTTTTAGCCCAGTTCATCCAAAAACTGCACTCTCAAACCAAGCAGCAGAAAAAACTCAAATATGATGTCTTCTTTTCACTTCTTTAATTACCCAAACATGTAAAAATAATTGAGTTTTTTTTAAAACCTTTCATTCTTATAATGATAATGATTTTAAAAAGCAATTTGTGAAGAATGATATAAGGTCAGCTTCTTGAGCAGGGGGCTGGACCACCAAGACCTCCGAGGTCCCTTTCAGCCCTATTATTCTATGTTCTATGATGCTAAAGCAAACTTTAAAATATTTTTTAAATTCTGCAATCCTCCAATTTTCTTGCCTGAGATTTCACTTTCAGATCCAGATATCTCCTATTTGATGGAGCTGGACATGATGGAAGTTCAATGAAAGGAGAATAGAGAAGATCACTTAGCAACTTTGAATTTGATTTTGAATGTGAAATCAAACTAACTTGCCTAAGACAAAATTCCCTTTGAGTATTCCTGCTATGGTAACAACCATGACACATAAAATTGTAGCAAAATCACTGGTACACTGAGAGTCACAACTTATATTAATTTGTGTATTTGGCTATATAAAATCAAAGTTCCAACCTTTTGCCTTGGGAGAGTTCCCATTTCAGAGCGACAAGTACATAATGTAGTAAGCATTTTTAAAATCTCACATTGTATAAAATATCTATGCTTGCTTACTGTATATTTCTTAATGGTACAGAATTAAAAATGTCTACTTTCATCAAGGCACTCTAGCACTATTTTACAATGGAACTTCTCAAAAAAGGATCTAAAATGACTGAGGCAGTCAGCTACTAGATTAATTCTCCATGGCCATTAACAAAGGTCTTAGAAGGCCGTGGATGGAGAATAATGCCTCACTATTAATTTTCACATAATGGAGGATTTTGTTTAGAAAATTTGGTCATCTGCTTCAGCAACCCAGATTGGATGTAAATGCCAGCTCTCTTTTGCTTTCTCTAAAGCCACTCAGAATAATAAAAGAGTTGAAAGGGATCCTGGAGGTCTTCTAGTCCAATCCCCTGCTCAAGCAGGAGACCCTATACTATTTCAGAAAAATGGATGTCCAGTCTCTTTTTAAAAGCCTCCAGTGATGGATCACCAACAACTTCTAAAGACAAGTCTTTCCATTGGTTTATTGTTCTCAGTGTCAGGAAATTTCTCCTTAGTTCTAGGTTGCTTCTCTCCTTGGTTAGTTTCTCTCCATTGCTTCTTATCTTGCCTACTGGTGCTTTGGAAAATAGGTTGGCCTCCTCTTCTTTGTGGCAGCCCCTCAAATACTGCTATCATGTCACCCCTAGTCCTTCTTTTTACTAGACTAGACATTCTCAATTCCTGCAACCCTTTTTCATGTTTTAGCTTCCAGCCCCCTAATCATCTTTGTTGCTTTTTTTGGACTCTTTCCAAAGTCTCAACATCTTTTTTATACTGTGGTGACCAAAACTAGATGCAATATTCCAAGTGTGGTCTTATCAAGGCATTATAAAGCAGTACTAACACTTCACAAGATTTTGATTCTATCCCTCTGTTAATGCAGCCTAGAATTGCACTGGCTTTTTTGGCAGCTGCTGGCTCATATTTAAGTGATTGTCCACAAGGAGCCCAAGATCCCTCTCGCAGTTATTGCTATACAGCCAAGTTTCATCTAATCTGTACTTGTACATTTGGTTTTTCTTACCCAAGTGTAAAACCTTCCTTTTTTCTACATTGAATTTCATTTTGTTAGATAGGGCCCAGTGTTCAAGTCCGTCAAGATCCATCTGGATCTTAGGCCTATTTTTTGAGGAGTGGGCTATTCCTACCAGCTTGGTGTCATCTGCAAATTTGATGAGTTCCCCTTCTACTTCTCATCTAAATCATTTGTGAAGATATTGAAGCGTACTGGGCCTAAGACAAAACATTGGGGTTCCCCACTGCTTACTTCCCTCCATGTAGATGTAATTCCATTAAGGACTACACATTGAGTGTGGTTTCTCAGCCTGTTACAAATTCCTCTGGTGATGCTGCTGTCTATCCCACATTTTCTAGCTTACCAAGAAGTAGATTGTGGTCTACTTTGTTAAATGCCTTACTGAAATCCATGTATCCATGTATCTTCCCAGGTACTGATGTCAGGCTGATTGGTCTGTAATTTCCTGGATCTGTTTTTTTCCCTTTTTTGAATATGAGAACCATACCAGTTCTTTTCCAGTCCTCTGGTAGTTCCCTGGTGCTTCAGGAACTTTGAAACATATGGTTCAGTGGTTAGGAGATACGTTTGCCAGCTCCTTCAACACTCTGGGATGTAATCCATCAGATCCTGGTGATTTGAACTTGTCTAGAGTAGACAGGAGTTCTCTTACTATTTTCTTGCCTAATTTAATTTGACTTCCTAGACTGTCTTTTATGTTCTGTTCTGTCTAGGCAATTTTTCTTTTTATGTGAAGACAGATGCAAAGAAAGAATTAAGCAGCTCTACCTGTCACTTCCTTGCCATTTTCTTCCATTAGTGAACCGATTGTTTCTTTGATTGTTTCTTATTTTTTATATGTTGAAACTTTTTTTAAAATTACTTTTGACATTTGTTGCACATTTTACTTCATTCTGAGCCTTAGTTTTCTTGACATCTTTGCAGATTCGGACTATATGCTGGTATTCTGCCTTATTTATGTGTCCCTCTTTCCATTTTTTATACTTATCCTTTTTGTCTTTCAGTTTATCAGATAGTTCTTTGTGCAGCCATGTTGGTTTCATGTTAGATTTCTTATTTTTCTTTTTCAATGTTATTGTGCTGTTTTTAGAGTTTTCTATGCTTCTTAAGTTGTTTTCCCCCTTTAAGATTTTCATCTTAGGACCTTGTCGGAAGCACAGATGAGAACACTACTTGTGCTCCTAACTCCTTAACTTTATTGCCGAGCTG